ATTTTAGATATGGAAAGACTGAAAGATAAAGAGAGTTGGATCACAGGTTGGAAAGAAAGATTGTTGGAAAGAAAAAGAGAAAGGGATGGAAAGAGAGAGAAAGGTGGGAAAAACAACTGGATTTTTTAAATCTTATTCACTTAAGATATTTTAAAGAGCAAAAAATAGGAGGAAAGAGAGAGATTCTTTGTTTAAAGAAAACAGAGATAGGTGGAAAGAGAGGTGAAAAAAAAGAGAGAGACATAAGAGAGAGAGGTGAAACAGAGAGAAAGTAAGAAAAGTGGAGAGAGAGATGGAAAGAGAAAGGTGGAAATAGAGAAGAGAATTGAAAAGAGAGAGAGGTGGAAAGAGAGAGAGGGGAGGTGAAAAAGAGAAAGAGAAGAAAAAGAGAAAGAGAGAGAAGGAAAGAGAGGTGAAAAGAGAGAGGTGGAAAGAAAAAGGGTGGAAAAAGAGGTGGAAAGAGAGGGGGAAAGAGGGGAAGAGAGGTGAAAAAGAGAGAGAGGGAAAAGAGAGAGTTGGAAATAGAGAGAGGGAAAAGAGAGAGGGAGAAAAAAGAGAGAGAAGAGAAAAGGGGTTTGAAAGAGAAAGAGGTGAAAAGAGAGAAGGTGGGAAAAGAGAGAGGTGGGAAAGAGAGAAGGTGAAAAAGAGAGAGGTGGAAAGAGAGAGGGGTGAAAGAGAGAGGTGAAAAGAAGAGGGGTGGAAAAGAGAGGTGGAAAGAAAGGTGAAAAGTGAGAGAGAGGTGGAAAGAGAGAGAGGTGAAAAGAGAGAGGTGGAGAAGAGAGAAGGTGAGAAAAAAAGAGAGGTGGAAAGAAAAAGGTGAAAAAGAGAGAGGTGGAAAAGAGAGAGAGGGAAAAAGAGAGGAGAGAGAGGTGGTAAGAGAGAAGGTGGAAAGAGAGAGACAGAAAGAAAAAGGTGGAAAGAGAGAGAGGTGGAAAGAAAGAGAGAATTGAAAGAAAGAGAGGTGGAAAGAGAGAGGTGGATAGAGAGAGATGAAAAGAGAGAGATGAAAAGAAAGAGAGGTGAAAAGAGAGAGGCGGAGAGGAGTAGACAGATAGAGAGAGAGGTGGAAAAGAGAGATGGAAAGGAGAGAGAAAGAGAAAGCAAGAGTTGAAAGAAAGAGAGAAGGTGAAAGAGAGAGGGAAAGAGAGAAAATTGCAAAGAGAGAGAGAGAGAAAGAGAGAGAGAGAGAGGTGGAAAAGAGAGAGGTGGAAAAGAGAGAGAGGAAAGAGAGAGAGAATTGGAAAGAGAGAGAGGTGGAAAGAGAGAGAGGTGGAAAAGAGAGAGAGGTGAAAAAGAGGAGAGGTGGAAAGAGAGAGAGAGAGAGGCGGAAGAAAGAGAGGTGAAAAAAGAGAAAGGTGAAAAGAAAGAGAGAGAGGTGGAAAGAGAGAGGTGGTAAGAAAGAGAATGGTGGAAGAGAGAGGTGGAAAGAAAGAGAGAATTGAAGGAGAGAGAGGTGGATAGAGAGAGATGAAAAGAGAGAGATGAAAAGAGAAAGAGAGGTGAAAAGAGAGAAAGAGGTGTAAAGAGAGAGAGAGAGCTGGAAATAGAGAGGTGGAAAGAGAGAGTGTTGGAAGGAGAAAGAGCGAGAGATGGAAAGAGAGAGAGAGTTAGAAAGAGAGAGCAAGAGGTGAAAAGAAAGAGAGAAGTGAAAAGAGAGAGAGGTGGAAAGAGAGAGAGAATTGAAAAGAGAGAGAGGTGGAAAGAGAGAGAGAGCGAAAGGTGAAAAGAGAGAGAGGTGGAAAGAGAGCAGCGAGAAGAGAGAGAGGTGGAAAGACAGAGAATTGAAAGAGAGAGGGGTGGAAAGAGAGAGATGTGGAAAGAGACAGGGGAAAAGAGAGAAAGTTGAAAAGAGAAAGAGAGGTGAAAAGAGAGAAAGAGTTGGAAAGAGAGAGAGAGAGAGGTGAAAAGCGGACATAAATGTAACCATTTCCGTCCACAGTCCAGATGTTAAATTAGATCACCATCTGAGACGAACACACACCTTTTCCTTCTATCTCTCCCCCACCCTTCCTACAAGATAATAAATTTATATCTTTCTTTCACCTACTCTCTATATATGACTTCTGGCAAACACACAAGCAATGTTCACAGTGTTTTATAAAAATAAAGATTTCATCGTCTGCCAATTCAAAGAATACCGCGCGTCTCGTACGACGTCGCCGGTTGGTTAAAAAATATGAGTACAGAAATTCAAATATCTGGGGCCTGTCAATGTAAAAAAAAAAAATGAGTTTTTTTTTTGTTTTTTTTTTTTTGTGACAATACTTTAATCTGTTAACAATTTTCTACGATTCTGAAACGAGGCTCCACAGCACTAATGCGCCCGAAAGGTACCCTGATGCGCGCCAGGTTAACAGAAGAGTAATTTCTGAGTTATTTTTTACATATAACTAAAGGGTTGTTTGTTTTTGTTTTTACTAAAAGTAAGATAGACACCAAGCACATGGCTTCTATGTCTAAACCAATCGACGTTTCGACTGATGAAGTTGACTTATCGTTAACAAAATAAGAGGAGCTGGCTATTGTGCCTGCTGATCGCGGCCTAATCGAGCATAAAGAGTCGTCCATTGTTCAATTTTCGATTTCCATTCATGAAGAACATACTAGCAAAGCACTGAATATTTTATTGCAGTTATCTTCATCGCACCTCTGAGAATTGGAATAAAATGCAAAACAGCTCAAATATTAAATTCATTCATGAGAAAATTAATGTATGTTTATAAAGCCTATAATTTTTAAAAAATTACCACATCAAGCATAGGTTTTGCAAAAGCATACTTAAATATAAAATTTAATGTCTTAAAAAATGTTTATTTCATGAGATTTCTTTATCATTTTCCTATTTTAAAATTTCATGACTAACTTTTCCTTATTAAAATTTCAAAAGCACATAGAGTTTTAGTTAGTGTACAAGCGTACCCTGAAGTAAAAAAAAAAAGTTTGATAAACACTGGTATAACATATAATTTTTCATCAATTTTCGAATAAATACCTTTATCAGTACAATTTTCCAATACTTTTCTCATTCCTTGTTTCAAGAACCTAACCAATACACTGTTACTAGTTGTCTAACGAATGCTCTTTATCAAACGTTTTTACCAAGATTTACCTCAATGTTATTCGAAAATACTATTTTAACAGTACACTTTATCAATACAATTTTATCCATAATACAGCGTGTCCATAGAGTTCGTGTGCACTATAAAAAAATTATAACTTTATTTTTATTTGCGATAGAAATAATTTGTAAAAAAGGATTAGAATGAAGTAAATCTATATTTTTTAAGGTTTTATTGATATTTTATTTAAGTTTCCACATGTCCTCCATCATTAGCAATACAAAGGGTAATACGATTTTGAAGTTCACGGAAAACATTTGCTCAACTGATTTACAGTAATGCCTGAAATCACATTAGTTATTTTAGCTATACTTAAAACTAGGTACATTAAACTTTATAACATTTTTTTACAGATTATTTCTATCGCAAATACAAATAAAGTTATAAATTTTTTAAGGAGCACACGAACTTTATGGACACCATGTATAATAAATTATAATGTACTATCAATAGCTTAATTTAATGGTCGTTGTCGATAAAATCTTACCAGTAGACTCATCAATACTCATTGTCGACACTCTTTGACTAATAGCCTCATCAATACCCATTGTCGATACTCTTTGACTAATAGCCTCATCAATACCCATTATCGATACTCTTTGACTAATAGCCTCATCAATACTCCTTGTCGATATTCTTTGACTAATAGCCTCATCAATACCCATTGTCGATACACTTTGACTAATAGCTTCATTAATACTCTTATCGATACTCTTTGACAAATAGCTTCATTAATACTCATTGTCGATACTCTTTGACTAATAGCCTCATCAATACCCATTGTCGATACTCTTTGACTAATAGCTTCATTAATACTCTTATCGATACTCTTTGACTAATAGCTTCATTAATACTTATTGTCGATACTCTTTGACTAATAGCCTCATCCATACTCATTGTCGATACTCTTTGACTAATAGCCTCATCAATACCCATTATCGATACTCTTTGACTAATAGCCTCATCAATACTCATTGTCGATACTCTTTGACTAATAGCCTCATTAATACCCATTGTCGATACTCTTTGACTAATAGCTTCATTAATACTATTATCGATATTCTTTGACTAATAGCTTCATTAATACTCATTGTCGATACTCTTTGACTAATAGCCTCATCAATACCCATTATCGATACTCTTTGACTAATAGCCCCATCAATACTCATTGTCGATACTTATTTTCTACTCTACAACCGCATTCTCACAAAACCTCTCAAATTTTAAAGATGAGCGTCATGCCTCCAGTTCAGACCTTTACTGACAGGACACGCTATACTAGTTGCACGTAGGCGAAACGCACGCATTCAATGCAGGACGTTCCGTTCAGCCTTCTCCCCAAATCTGTGGAATCGACTCCCGCCTGGATGCTTCCCTGTGAGCTACTATATTACCCTCTTCGTGCCAAGTTGTCAATTGTTGTCCAACGTTATCCAGATAATCTTCCCTTTCCACCACCTGTCTTTTCCTACATATTACACATCTCCTTTATCATATGCGTTTTTACCATAACCCCCTTCTTTGAGTGGCTCTTGAGGCTTGTATTGGGCGAGTTGTATTTTTAAATACTCTTGTAAATCCAGATTAAGTCTTACAAGCTTTAATCTTTTTTTTCTACATGTGTGGTTTGGTAAATAGGCATAAAAAAACGCTTCTGGACTATGGCTATAATTTTATCAGACGCTTCCGTAATTAAATGGAATTGATAACGTTTCCTTATGTCTATTCAGAGTATCAATTTAATTAGAACAATAAATGGTAAATGAAAACAATTGGAAGAAAAAAAAGATGGAAGAACGAAAGTGAAAGAATAGTAACATTTCAAAGTCGAGCAAAAAATAAAGGAAAGACGGAAATTGAAAGAATGGCAAATAGAAAGTTTTAAGGAAGAGAAAAGAAAGAAAGAAAGAAAGAAAGAAAGGAAGAAAGGAAGAAAGGAAGAAAGAAAGAAATTGAATGCATTAGGAGTGAAAAAAAATGAGTCGAAAGTAAAGAAAGAAAGAAAGAAAGAAAGAAAGAAAGAAAGAAAGAAAGAAAAAAAGAAATTGAATGCATTAGGAGTGAAAAAAAATGAGTCGAAAGTAAAGAAAGAAAGAAAGAAAGAAAGAAAGAAATGGAATGAACATTGAACGAAAGAAAGAAAGAAAGAAAGAAAGAAAGAAAGAAAGAAAGAAAGAAAGAATGATACGCTATAAACACTGACAGAAAGAAAGAAAAAACAAAAGAAAGAAAGAAAGAAAGAAAGAAAGAATGGGAAGTAAAACTTTCATCTAAGAAAGAATGATACGCTATAAACATTGAAAGAAAGAAAGAAAGAAAGAAAGAAAGAAAGAAAGAAAGAAAGAAAGAAAGAAAGAATGGGGAGTAAAACTTTCGTCTAAGACAGAATGGTACGCTATAAACATTGAAAGAAAGAAAGAAAAAACAAAAGAAAGAAAGAAAGAAAGAAAGAAAGAAAGAAAGAAAGAAAGAAAGAAAGAAAGAAAGAAAAGAAAGAAATAATGGGAAGTAAAATTTCCGAACATAGAAAACAGAAAGAAAAAAGAAAGTGGAATAAAAATTTTGAGCCTAGAAAGAAAGAAAGAAAGAAAGAAAGAAAGAAAGAAAGAAAGAAAGAAAGACTGATACGCTATAAACATTGAAAGAAAGAAAGAAAAACAAATGAAAGAAAGAAAGAATTGGGGAGTAAAAATTTCGAGTCTAGAAAGAAAGAATTAAAAACAAAAATGAAACAAAGAAAAAAAGACGAAAAGAAAAGAGAGAAGATGCAAAAAAGGAAGAAGAAAAAAGAGATAAGAAAAATAGAAGATAAAGAAAGGGAAAGCATGAAGAGTAACAAATTACTGTCTAGCATATATATATATATATATATATATATATATATATATATATATATATATATATATATAGTTAAGAGCTTGCGCATCCTCGCTTAGCGAGCTGTGTATGTCTGCCCAAGCAAGCGCGTGTGCATGGAACAGGTGCGAGTCAAAGATGGGCTGAGTTTACACGAAAATGATGTCATCGAACTGAATTGGTCGTCTGACGTCATCGCTTAGAGGTAACTCTAATCTTGGGCGAGAGTTGACTGAATTTCAAAATTCGATGCGTAGGTGGTCTTTTGAAGGTAGCGTTTCAAACGAACGGCGTTCTTTGCGATTTTAAGTCGGTAGGCAATTTCTTCCGAACCCCCTCCTAGCTGTCACACCTTTCCTAACGATATCCTCGTTGTGCTGGACTCTATTTCTTCTGATATTTTTTTATTTATTTTTCCGAAATCGGTTTAGAGATAAACATCTGGGTCTGGGATCAATCAGTTCTGCGAAAAATAAGTTGTTTTTTGGTTTTGTTTTTTTTTGTTTTTATTTTGTTTTTTGTTTTTGTTTTTTTGTTTTTTTCCAGTACAAAACATTCACATTTTAATTTTTATCTTTAGAAGTATAAAATTTACCTATTAATTATTCATTCACGATAGTATTTTAAAATGTAAATCTTGGCACACACACACACACACACACACACACACACACATATATATATATATATATATATATATATATATAAGCGTCTGGATAGTAAAAGTCAAATTAAAACAGTAATTTTACTTTTCTAATCAGACGCTTTTTCTTCTACATATATATATATATATATATATATATATATATATATATATATTATGGGGAAAATATATATATATATATATATATATATATATTATATATATATATATTATATATGGATGGAAAATAAAGCATTTTTTTTTTTTAAATCCACATTACAACCAAAAAACGTTTATGTTTTCCTCTTCTTTTTAATGTATACCAATTTTCTGGATATATATATATATATATATATATATATATATATATATATACAAAAGAGTCTGACACAGAAGAGGCTTCTAAAAATATTTTTGAATTTGATGTAACTACACAATATTTCGTATTGCTTTTTCATCACTTGCCTTGATAAAATCGAATGACGAGACGTGTTGGCAAAAACTAAGAACTATTTTCCAATTGTATTCTTCTATATATATATATATATATATATATATATATATATATATGCTAAAGTTTTCGCGATAGTAACACTCCTCAGGGTCAAGATAAGAATTAGTCTATTATTGGCATACTATGTACTTTATAAACTCTTATTAATAATGCTAACATTTTTAAATTTTATATAGAGATGTCTGTTATTATTCTATTTACACACACGCATTTCACACACACATTAAACACACACACACATAAATGTGTGTGTGTGTGTGTGTGTGTGTGTGTGTGTGTGTGTGTGTGTGTGCTAATAATGAATATACATTTTTCCATCACCTTTTGGTAAGTTCCATGCGCGTAGCAATCGTCAGGCACAAATTGAAATCTGCCCCTTGTAACATTTGTGCCTAACGATTGCCATGTGCATGAAACATTGAGTTGTACCGCTCAGTGGGGAACCTATGTGTATTTATTTTCAGTATAAATTTGGACTCTGTTATTTTACATCAATGCGCATATATATGTGTGTGTGTGTGTATATATATATATATATATATATATATATATATATATATATATATATATATATATATGTGTGTGTGTAAAGACCCGTTTATGAATCTAACATGTTTCGCTTTTATTAAAGCTTCATCAGAGAACGAGATATGGAAATGCACGTGAAGTCTGCTTAACCAATAAGAATCGAATACGAAAATAAAAAATACCTATATTTCCCTCCTTTCCATATCAGATGAAGCCTTAATAAAAGCAAAATTTATAAACGTTTCCGATTTGTTCTTTATCCTATCATGCTGTCGGATTATATATATATATATATATATATATATATATATATATATATATATTATATATAATATAGAAATATTTTAAGATATGCTATACTTATGGAATAAAGTGCTCAACATCAGAGATAGAGAGTATATAAATATAAAAGTGAATATTGGTCAACACTCGGATGTGACAGGCTGTTTCCCGCTAGACGCAATCATCAGGCCATATATATATATATATATATATATATATATATATATATATATATATATTGAAAAATTGAAAAGTTATTGGTCAGAATTGAATTAGACGAGAAACAGTATTAATAAAACCTGCTCAATACATGTATAAAGAAAAGAAAAGAAAAATTTAATATGTAGTGATTTTAAATATGAAAAAATTAGATCAGCCAATGACGCTACCATGGTTTCAACTTTTCGGTATCTTCAGGTGCACCAGCCTAAATAATTTCCTAGCGCTTTATCATTTCAAAATAAATAAAGTGTAATAGAAGGGGAGGAGAAAAGCAACGGTGCTGAAATTGTATCAGATGCGGGGTATGGGGTATGTAATTCTAGTTCAAACAAACTCAAAAGGATTTTTTTTTTTGTTTTTAAGCATCGTGTCATTATTTCTGATCTTTCATTCAGAAGTTTTTTTTGTTTTTTTTTTTTTGGTCTGGAAATGTTATTGTTGTTAATTTTTCTTCTTGGCAAAGATTGCAGATATTACTATGATTGTGGCAAGGTTTGCCTTTTTTTTTTTTTATTTCCGAGTTTACAATCGAATCTTTATTTCATTTTTTTTCTTTTGATTTCCACACATGACTGGCTAGTTTGGTAGAATTCATAAGTCTTTCTAGTTTGAATGATGACTTGTGATTATACCATCTCGTCTTGAATCTGCCTTCAGTACACCCTATGTAAATTTTTGTCTGGTCATTTGTATCTTTTAATTCTGCTTTATAAATAATGCCTTCAGTTTTAGACACTCCATCTAATGGGCATCTATTTTTATTTCTACTGTTACATTTTTCACCGTTAATGATATCTTGTTGCACGTTAGTTTTCAAACTACTGGCCTTCTGTCTTTTATATTGTGGTCTCTAAATTACTAGTGCAACTGTAGCTTAATTTAACTGTGTTATTATTGAAGATCTTCAGTAATTCGGAATTTGGCGGGGGGGGGGAGTGTTTATTAAGTAATTTAAAAAACATTTTCCTTATTTTACATTTGACCTCTAAGTTGAAAGTGTAGGTGTCGAAACAATTTTTTTTTCTTTTCTTCGAATTATTCTTCATTTGTTGTTTAATTTCAAATTTAAATTCCAGTTTAGTTTTATACCATTCTGCTTTTAAAGTGTTTTCATACACTTTCTTTTTATAAAATTATTTTACTGGAGGAATTTCTAGATAACCTGGACTCTATAATTTTAGGGATGTGCTTTATTATACTTGCAGAGTGGTTGGCTGCAGCATTCGTATACCGAAAGGTTGGGGCGCGGTTAACCAGCTTGTCTCGCTAGAAGAATTACGACTGAGTAGTGAGTTCGATGCTCACTAGGTGCACCATACATTGTGCCACATCTTAGCAACGCTTGGAAAATCACTATACCGAAATTTTTCCAATATATATATATATATATATATAAATATATAAAAGTGAACATAGAAGTCAACACTTAGAGGCGACAGTATGTTTCATGCTGTTGACTTCTACGTTCACTTTTATATTTACACACGCTCTATCTCTGATATCGAGCTATATTTATGGGATAAAGTATCCCATAAATATAGCAGACCTTAAGACTATATTTCTTCATATATATATATATATATATATATATATGTGTGTGTGTGTGTGTGTGTGTGTGTGTGTAATTCGCAGCTCCTCAGTGCGACTAGACAACCGAACGCCTCAAGCCAATATCGAAACCCAGTCAGTCAGAGTCTCTACCACTGAGCCATCTTCAGTCGACAGAAAGAATCAGCCAAATCTAGCATATTGTTTTGACAAACGTAAACAAACGCCAAGCAGCCAAAGTGCTCTATTCATTTTACTGATAAAATATATATGAAGAAATATAGTTTGAAGGTGTGCTATATTTATAGGATAAAGTGCTCAATATCAGAGATAGAGCGTATGCAAATAAATAAATATAAATATTCAATGTTCACTTTCATAAAATATATATATATATATATATATATATATATATATATATATATATATATATATATACTGGTTTATTTTTGTGTGACTGCTTCTTTGTAATATTAATTATTAATATTAATTAACGATCCGCCGCAGTGCAAAATTTCGGGAAAACTAATGGGACATTGCTCTAGTTATTGGACCATTTTCCTCTCAGAAGTTACTTGAATTTACCTGAAAAGGAAAAATAATCCCTATACCTGAAGATAGTAATAAGAATTACCGAAAGTACTAGCAACATCTAATCCATTTTACAAATTTTTAATTAATGATCGCGCCATTCAACGAGTTGTTTGTAAGTTAATGCTTTATTAAATATGTTAGCGAAGTTAATTCGCCATTAATTACATTAACTTTATTATTCATATATATATATATATATATATATATATATATATATTGAGCATTGTTTTGTTTGCACCATAAATTAAATTAAATAAATATTTATTTGCTTATTTGTCTATTCACGCTATAGCACGCATATACGGTTGCTAATATGAAATATATATTAATTATATTCTTTACATTATTGGGACTTTTATCCTCATCTTCATTGCCATATTCTCAACGTTTCGTCTCTGGCCTTCTTCAGTTGATTGGAATTTAGAATTTTTTAGAATATTAAGAAATTTATTTATTAAAGACATTTTTATGTTTAACGTTGTTTTTTATAGATACAAGTATTTTCTATGAAAATTTCTCGGACATTCAAGCCGGTAAATGTTATTTAATACTGTTTATCATAAACAGAGCATTTACTTAAATATTTGTATCTATAAAAAACAACGTTAAACATAAAAATGTCTTTAATAAATAAATTGTCGGACTTTGTCCATTTCTTAATATATGACGTCATTTGTTTACATTTGATACGCTAGAGCAGTTATGAATGTACGAGATTCATTGAAGATTGAAGTTTATAAGCAGTAAATTGACTGTGTCTACCGAACGCTCCTTTGTGGCCGATCGGATAAGGCACGTCAGCGTATATGACGGTTCCGTATAGGATGCAGGTTCGAAAACCTGTCAAAGGACGAATATTTTCTAT